TTGGGCCTCAGCCTCCTAAGTAGATGGGATTACAGGCATGTGCCACCATACACAGCTAATTTTGTATTTTTAGTAGAGTTGGGGTTTCTCCATGTTGATCAGGCTGGTCTCCAACTCCTGACCTCAGCTGATCCACCCAGTTTGGCCTCCCAAAGTGCTGGGATTACAGGCATGAGCCACTACGCATGGCCAGTACAATACAATTTTAACTGCAGTCCTCATATGGGACATTAGATCTCTAGAGCTGTTCATCCTGCTAATGCTTTGCACCCTTCCACCTGGATCTTCCCACATCCCCCTACTCTTCACATCACTCCTAGTAACCACTGCTTTATTCTATGTGTATATTTGAATTTTTTGTTTTGAATTCCACATATAAGTGATCATGTGATATTTTTCTTTCTTTCTTTGGCTTATTTCACCTAGGAGCTGCTTTTTTATTTTTATTTATTTATTTATTTATTTTGAAACAGAGTCTCGCTCTGTCTCCCAGGCTAGAGTGCAGTGGCAAGATCTCACCTCACTGCATCCTCCACCTCCCTGGTTCAAGCGATTCTTCTGCCTCAGCCTCAAGAGTAGCAGGGACCACAGGCGTGAGCCACCACACCCAGCTAATTTTTGTATTACTAGTAGAGACAGGGTTTCACCATGTTGACCAGGCTAGTCTCAAACTCCTGACCTCGTGATCGGCTAGTCTCAGCCTCCCAAAGTGCTGGGATTATAGGTGTGAGCCACAGTGCCCAGCCAAGGTTCTGCTTCTAAATTAAACCTCTTAATACGTTTTTAAACAGAAATTTGATTGCATATCCCATAACCATTATAGAATACTTTCATAGGTAAATATAAAAATTATCAATATAACTGTTCATGTAAAAATCAAAGCAAAACATATTTGTTAAGTGTCATCCCGATCCACTTATTCTTCCATGTGTTTCAGTTTGAGTGCAGTCAATGAAGGTATAACCCGGAAAGTTAGAGTGCAATGTGGCCCACAATTGGTAACTAAATATGAAAATTTGAGTGAATCTAAATATTAGAAAGCAACTGAGCTAGGTTGGATAGTATTGGAATCATTTGGCTGATGATCTGCTGGGTTGGATATTATTGGAATCATTTGGCTGATGATGCTAATCAGTTACCATTTTGTTTTTAAGTGGAAGCCGCATAATCAAATAAGTTTAGTAAAATTCCTTGTGTTTACAGAGATCTAGTCAAAATGATTCTATATTTTCCTATTTAAGCATCCTAGTGGAAGTCATGTTTTGCCTTTCTAATTAAATATTTGCTTACATGTGTGTAATACAATGTCCCTGAATGAAGAAGAAAACACACTATCATACTTTTACTTCTAATTTTTATAGGCATTTGAGTTCCTGTTTTCTTTATTCCAAAGTCTCCATTTGCTAGGAAAAAAAAAGATGTATTTGTACTATTATGCATCTGTTACTTATATGGTTGGATTATCAAACTCTAAAACTCTTACTACGAATGTGGAAAGAACAACATTGGATTAGATGCAGAATTCTGCTTAAGCCATTTATTAGCAGCATTTTATCTTAGGCATGTTGCTTAACAATCCTTGGTTTCCTCACCTGAAAAATGAGATACGCCAGCTGTCTACCTTATAAGGTTGCTGAGAGAAGCAATCAGATATGTTAGGATGGCAGAACCACCAAAGAGTGTAAAAGTTCAGATTTGAGATCCAAAGAACCTCAGATGGAGCTGTTGTTACCACTAACTCTGTAATCTTGGGCAAGTAACTTCTAAGCCTTAGTTTCCTTATCTGCCAAATAGGGGTCATGATAAGACCTATCTCACACATTACTGAGAGGATTAAATGACACTATAAAGTGCTGAGTATGTATGATAATGGCTAAAGGTGATGAGCACTTCCTGTGTTCCAACTACCTGATCACATATATGAATGTGTTCTCTAGGCTGGAAAGCCATGTAGAGGGAGAAGCTCAATTCATGTGCTTCTCCATTGCCAGCCTTTGCTCCCATATGGCCTTATTTCTAGAGCCCACAGACTTGCCATATGGAGAGATCTTAGCCAGGATACTCACTTTGAGAGATAAGGAAGAGGCCCATTTATAGCATCTACTGCTCCAGAGAGGAAGGCTCCTAGGTGAGGCATTATGCCTGGAACAGGATCTCTAGTCCAAGCATTGGATTTGGTTGGGTCTCAGAGGAAGCAGACCTGTTATCTTGCATTCTTGATGCATTCCTGGTGGACTTTATCACAAGGGTCTGGGACTCTGGGAAAAGGAAAGGACAGCCAGAAGGAACGAGCTTTCTCTCCCTCAAATCAAACTCCACCTTTTGATTGCCACTGCCTTCAACTAACAACGAAATTACCTTTTTTTGTTGTTGTCGTAACTATTTTTATGATTGTCAGTATAACTGCCATTATTGTTAATACCTAAATGTACAGTGAATGACTAAGTTCATTGACTTATCTCAATAGTCTCAACAATCTTGTGAGGAAGATTCTTTATTTATTTATTTATTTTGTGAGATAGGGTCTTGCTCTCGCTCTGTCATCGAAGCTGAAGTGCAGTGACAAGATAAGTTCACTGCAGCCTCACCTTCTAGGACTCAAGTGACCCTCCTACTTCAGCCTCCTGAGTAGCTGGGATCACAGACTTGCCACAGTGCCTGGCTAATTTTTAATTTTTTGTGGAGACTGGGGTCTTACTATGTTGCTCAGGCTGATTTTGAACTCCTGAGCTCAAGCACTCCTCATGCCTCAGCCTCCCAAAGTGCTGTGATTACAGGTGTGAGCCACTGCAGAAGCCACCAGCCTCAGGAAGATTATATTATTATCCTTATTTACAAATTAATAAAGTGAGGATTAATTGGAGAGGATAAAATACTTGCTAAAGTTAGCAAGTGGTATTGCTGAGACTCAAACTTGGAACTGTCTAGCTCTGAGCTCCTATTTCCAATTACTATGCTACTCTCCAATTAATTACTGACAACTAGAGTTCAAACTCAACAAGGCACTTGAATTTAAAATCCATGCATTACTTTTGCTTATACACACACAGCACCCAAGCCAGTGAAAATCGGGAAACAGACAATTAGCAAATGCCGTTTGGGTATTTGTCAACTCTCACCAAGATCTAGGAGAAGTCTTCTCTTTTAAAGATGATGAGAAAGATGCTAATCAAATTAATACTTAGTTTAGTCATCCTCATTCTAATGACGTAGCAAACTAAGATTTCTAAACAATAGAAACATCTTACACCCTTTTTTTTTTTTTTTCTAAGGGAAAGCCGTTGTTATTTGCACTTTATTTTAGAGCCATTGGTTTCTCTGTGGCTCTAGAACTTAGATGGCCTCAGGACCTCAGAGGAGTGAGGATAGAGAAAAGGTTTAGGTTGGGTGAAGGGAGAACCTGTATTGGTCAGGCAGCCTCATCTCTGTTCTGTTCCTCCCATTCCCAGGAAAGCTGCCCTCTCCTTCCCTCACCCCTCGAGTGCCTTCCTTGAAGCAAGACAGCAGTACATGGGCAGTTTACGCAGCACTTCCAGGGTCTTTCCAATAAAAATGAGTTTCTGCTCAATTTATCCTATCTCTTTTGAAAACTGAAAAAATAATAATGATTTGGGGCGAAAGTCAATGTGCTGAAACACCAATAAAAAAATCTCATGTTGTTGAACAGAAAGTAAACTTTAACCTTCAGAAAATTTTTGGTTTTCCTGTATGATATGTCTTATTGTTTTAAGACACATTCTCACATGGTTTTTCCATATTACAGAGAAGGGTTTTCTTAAGCTTATTGTAATTTATTATAATTAGTTCCTTAAATTAATAGATGAAGTTGAGTATAGAATTGTAGCTAGAGTCTTTAAAATATTTATCAGCAAAAACTATAGGATTATAAAAGACCTCATTTAAATCTTTCATGTTAATTACATAGCAATTATAAATGCAGATTGCAAGAAACGCCTTGATTGGATTTGTTCTATTTTATTCTGTTGATGTAGCCTTAATTGCACATGATAAGAAAATACTTTTAGTCTGAAAGCGTGCCAGACTGCCATGACCACTCTAACAACCTGCTTCAGTGAATTATCAAACAAATGTCATGTCAGTGTGTGCCTCATGAGTGGGGAAAAAAAACACTGAACAGTTTCTCCTATTAACTATTCAGTGAAAATGTGAGAAAGATATCTTTTGTACAGTATCTTCAAAAAGGAAACAATCACTCATACATGTTTTAAAAGCCCCTTGTGAATTGTAATTGTATTATAATGAATTGTAAATCTCAGGGTAAACTGCAGTGAGCCCTTCAGCAAGACTGGATTCTAGCAGTCAGGACGTTTCAGCCTTGGGTAATCAATCAAGGAACTGGAAAGAAGTAATTTCAAGGTGGTAACCCAGTACTCCCAACACCATTTATGTATAATTTATCAGAGCAGAGATACACAGTCTGATTGCATATCTGCTTGAGGATGTGTACAATCAACAGCTATTTATCTATTGCCGATTTCTAACATAGTACATAGCTTAAACCACTGAGGCAATGGAATCAAAACTATTTGTAACATTAGCTTTAGAAAACCATAATTAGAAAGGTAAATACACTGAATTCAGGAGCCAAATATAAATTCCTTTTGGATAATGTGTGGTTATGGATTACCAAATTATCTATATGGTTAATCTCCTTCATTAGTGTGGGATAATCCAGAACTGGATGTAATTACTTACATGTTGAAAGTGATGATAGTTATTATATAACATCAGTTTCACTAATCCTACCAATATTGTTTGTTCTTTGCCAACAATCTTTTCTATAAAGCCTGTTTTTATGCATGCAATTTTGTTTGCTTCTTGAGTTTGCTGATTTTAAAAAGCACAGATCTAAGCATGGTTATTCATATCTGGGGGGAAAGTCCCTAATAATCCTGACTTGAGGGGAAGTTAATATGGTAATTTACTGTGTTCCAGAGTGCCAAAGATGATCATTCTGGCTTTGCTTCTCTCTTCTGCAGCAACCATCTACTATGGGTTATGCAAGACAAATCATTAAGAAGGAAGGCTGGGGACTCCAGGGCCTCAACAAAGGATTAACTGCAACTTTGGGACGACATGGAGTTTTCAACATGGTCTATTTTGGCTTCTACTACAATGTCAAAAACATGATTCCTGTCAATAAGGTAACTATTTAATAACTTAAAATCCTGAATGAAAAATCCTATCAGTGATGATAGCTCCATTTGTAGAATGTTTATCCTGTCATGCTCTCTGTGCTAGACACCTACATCCATTATCTAATTTGATCCTCATATCTGCATTGAGTGCTATTATCCCTGTTTCAAATCCAGAAAGGGAGGCTTAGAAAAATCAAGGAAATTGCCCAGGATCACATAGTAAATAGTAAAGCCAAGGACTGAACCAGTGTCTCACACCAAAATTGCCCTTCTTGAAGAAGCTATTATTACACCCGAGGGCTTTCCCTTTATTACTAATAAAAATTTCTAGAAACTATATTATTAATTTATTTTGAATGTGAATATCTTTAGGATACTCTAGTGTAACTAAGATTTTTTTCTTTTATTATTATTATATTTTAAGTTCTGAGGTACATGTGCAGATTGTGCAGGATTGTTATATAGGTACACACATGCCATTGGTGGTTTGCTGCATCCTTCCCCCCGTCATCGACATTAGCTATTTCCCCTGATGTTTTCCCTCCCCAATCCCTCCACCCCCAATATCCTTCCCCTAGGTCCCTTACCCCAAACAGGCCCCAGTGTGTGATGTTCCCTTCCCTGTGTCCATGTGTTCTCATTGTTCGATACCCACTCATGATTGAGAACAAGCGGTGTTTGGTTTTCTGTGCTTGTGTCAGTTTGCTGAGAATGATGGTTTCCAGATTCATCCATGTCCCTGCAAAGAAGATGAACTCACCCTTTTTTGTGACTGAATAGTATTCCATGGTATATATGTGCCACATTTTCTTTAACCAGTCTATCACTGATGGGCATTTGGGTTAGTTCCAAGTCTTTGCGATTGTGAATAGTGCTGCAATAAATATACTTGTGCATGTGTCTTTATGGTAGAATGATTTATAATCCTTTGGGTATATACCCAGTAATGGGATTGCTGGGTCAAATGGTATTTCTATTTCTAGATCCTTAAGGAATTGCCACACTGTCTTCCACAATGGTCAAACTTATTTACACCCCCACCAATGTGTAAAAGCATTCCTATTTCTCCACATCTCCAGCATCTGCTGTCTACAGATTTTTTAATGATTGCCATTGTAACTGGCATGAGATAGTATCTCAATGTGGTTTTGATTTGCATTTCTCTAATGACCAGTGATGGAGCTTTTTTTCATATGTTTGTTGGCTGCATAAATGTCTTCTTTTGAAAAGTGCCTGTTCATATGCTTCGCCCACTTTTTGATGGGGTTGTTTATGTTTTTCTTGTAAATTTATTTCAGTTCTTTGTAGATGCTGGATATTAGCCCTTTGTCTGATAAGTAGATTGCAAAGAATTTTTTCCATTCTGTTGGTTGTCAGTTCACTCTAATGATAGTTTCTTTTGCTATGCAGAAGCTCTTAAGTTTAATTAGATCGCATTATTACTTAATTTTTATTTCAGAAGCATGACTTCCTCAAGAAAGTTGAAAGTTTTATATTTTAAATAAGTTTTGAACTCACAAGGAAAAATTGTCAGCCTAAAATTTAAATTTCACCTGGATATTAATTTTTAATCTAGGTTAATTAGGGTAGGTAGTCAAACAATTCTTCTAACATTATTTGCTTTTGATGCAAAATAATAATGATGATAATTATTGTCATCTTCAATACTATTATTTTGAAATGATAGTTTATAGGCTGGGTGGGCTGGCTTATGCCTGTAATCCCAGCACTTTGAAAGGCAAAGCCAACCAGGGCAACACAATGGGACCTCTCTCTGCAAAAAATTAAAAAATTAAAAAATTAACCAGGAGTGGTGTTGTGCACTTACAGTCAAGCTACTCAGGAGGCTGAGGTAGGAGGAACACTTGAGCCCAGGAGTTTGAGGCTACAATGAGCTGTGATTGCATCACTGCACTCCAGCCTGGTGACAGAGTGAGACCCTATTTCTTTCTTCTTTTTTCTCTTTCTTTCTTCTTTTTCTTTTTTTTATTGGAGATGGAGTTTCACTCTTGTCACCCAGCCTGTAGTGCAATGGTAAGATCCCATGCTCTGCAACCTCCACCTCTTGGGTTCAAGCAATTCTCCTGCCTCAGCCTCCTGAGTCGCTACGATTACAGGCACCCACAACCACGCCCAGCTAATTTTTTTTTTTTTTTTTTTTGTATTTTTAGTAGAGACGGGATTTCACCATGTTAGCCAGGCTGGTCTCAAACTCCTGCCTGACCTCAGGCAACCAGCCTGCCTTGGCCTCCCAAAGTGCTGGAATTACAGGTGTGAACCTCTGTACCCGGGCAAGTAAGATCCTATTTATAAATAATAATCATAATAACTTGTTAGTGGTAATTTACAGATGCCAACATCCTTTTTCAACTTCTTCAATATGAAAGTAACACAGGATGTGCTTTTAAGACATAGTATCACATAATTTTTCCCTATATCAAATTGCTTGCTTGCAATTAATATTGCAATCCTGGATGTACCAGTTGGGGTAGCATTTTTCACGAGCAGGTATTTTCCCTTAGGGGTCCAGTTCTTCGTTTTTCTTAGTAGAAAAGTATCGAAGGACTTTTTTTAAAATCATAAAACTATTTCTAGTATGGCTAACCAGACTTTTCAGCAAAGTTGGTTGTACCTGTCTTTGCCCAGCTATCCGACATATTCTAGGTAAGGCCAGGACGTTTCTCAAATAACAGCTGAATCCACACCATGTGTTCCACATTAACCATCTGTTGGCATTGCTTCACTTCACTAACCAAAGTTGTTAACCAAGTTTCACTGTATTTGGAAATCTCATTTATTGAGTAGAAGCTTATGTTTTTTGGTCTGAAATCTCTGATTGGCCACAGTGTATATAAACCCCTGTAGTGGCTGACTCCAGGGACCCTCAGAGCTATTCTCTTGTCAAATATAGAAATTGAGTGCAATAAACACTTTGATCCTGGGTGACGTGAAGGAGCTCTCAATACATTGAGGTATTTTTTTAGCAGGAACCCACTAAATAATTTGTAAGGCCCAGAGCAGAATGAAAATGCAGAGCCCTTTGTTCAAAAATTATTAAGAATTTCAAGACAGCGACAGTACAGCATTAAATCAAGTGTGGGGCTCATCTCTTCTAAATTCAGGCCCCACGCAACAGCACTAGTCACACACCCAGGAAACCAACTCTGTTTTTCAGACCGTAAGACAACTACTCTACTAAAAATACAAAAATTAGCTGGTGTCGTGTCCCATACCTGTGATCTCAGCTACTCAGGAGGCAGAGGCAAGAGAACTGCATGAACTTGGGAGGCAGAGGTTGCAGTGAGCTGACATTGCACCATTACACTCCAGCCTGGGCAACAGAGCAAGACTCCATCTCAAAAAAGAAAGAAAAAGAAAGAAAGAAAGAAAGAAGGAAGGTAGGAAGGAAGGAAGGAGGGAGGGAAGGAGGGAGGGAGGGAGGGAAGGAAAGAAAGAAAGAAGGAAAGAAGGAAAGAAAGAAGGAAAGAAGGAAAGAAGGAAGGAAAGAAGGAAAGAAAGAAAAAGAAGAAAGAAAGAAGGGAAGGAAGGAAGGAAGGAAGGAAGGAAGGAAGGAAGGAAGGGAAAGAAAGAAAGAAAGATTAGATGTCTATATGATCATAAAAAAAAATCCACAAGTACAAATTTTATTCTACAATTAATATACTTAAGTTATTAAATGTTCTGAATGGTTTAAACAAAAACAAACAAACAAACAAAAACGTAAGCTGGGACAGTGGCTCAAGCCTGTAATCCCAGCACTTTGGGAGGCTGAGGCAGGAGGACTGCTTGAAGCCAAGAGTTTGAGACATGCCTGGGGAACATAGTGAGACCCTATATCTACCAAAAAAAAAAAAAAAAAAATTAACGTTAGCCAGGATATGATTGTGCACACCTGTAGTCCCAACTACTCTGCAGGGTAAGGCAAGAGGATTGCTTGAAATTAAGAGTTCAAGACCAGCCTGGGCAACATAGTGACTGACCCTGTCTCTGCAAAATTTTAAAAATTAGCCAGGCACTGTGGCAAATCCCCATGGTCCCAGCTGCTTGCAAGGCGGAGGTGGAAAGATTGCTTGAGCCTAGAGGGGCAAGATTGCAGTGAACCATTCCCATGGTACTACACTCCGGCCTAGATGACAGGGCAAGATCTTGTTTCCAAAAAAAAAAAAAATTGGCATGTGTCTGTCTAATTTTTTCTAGTGATATTCAGTAAAATGTCAACCAGCATTTTGCCAAATGAATTATCTGTTAGATAGCACTTCCCACATCTAGATTATAACTAGCAAATAAGTGATTCATTTATTAATCAGGACCCTGAAAACTATCTTCTAAATCTTTAAATGAAAGATATACTTTGTTCATTATAGTTTTAAAATTAGTTTTTATGTTGTTATAAGTTTTGCCAAGCTGAGAACTTGTGACTAGAATACCTCATTTCCTCACTCCCATTCAAAGTATGCTACAATAGGGAGTTTAGTGAAATATGATTTGTCATTATTTTATTACATTTTCATTATTTACCTAGTTTTTTTTTTAAACAGCATCTCACCGCAGCCTCCTCCTCCTCCTGGGCTCAAATGATCCTCCCACCTCAGCCTCCTGAGTAGCTGGGACTACAGACATGCGCCACCACAATCAGCTATTTTTTTTATTTTTCTGTAGAAATGGAGATCTCACTTTGTTGCTAAGGCTGGTCTCAAACTCCTGTGCTTCAGTGACCCTCCCACCGCAGCCTTCCAAAGTGCTGGGATTATGGGCATGAGCCGCCATGGCTGGATGTCATTATTTTAAAAAGTGAAAGTTGAATAAATTCCACTGTAATCCCCTCTATACATTAGTGTTGTACCAGTGAAGAATGCTAATGCATTGCTTTCTATATATTTGACTATTAACAATTTTAAATCACATACCTCCTTTGACAGTGTGAAAATGTGCCATGTGGCTCAGAATTTCATTTCCAAGATTTAGCTCCCAAGCTAAAAGAACTGATGCCATTGCCAAATGAATTC